GGGGATCAAGCCTGCAACCCGAGCATGTGCCCTGACCGGGAATCAAACCGGCAGCCTTTAGGAGCACAGGACAACGCTCAACCACTGAGCCACACTGGCCAGGGCGCCCTCTCCTATTCCGAGCGTCCCCTTTCACAAGTCCCAAGAGACCCCCACACTCTCAACGTTGAGGAAATCCGCCCTCCGTTCACAGTGATTTTCAGCCTTGGCTGCAGGTGATGTCACCTGGCCGACTTGGCCAAAGTCCTGCTGTCCAGGCCTGTCCCTGGCCAGTTCGATCTGAATCTAACTTCAGCCTCCCAGATTACTCCAGGAAAGAACCAAGGTTGAAAACCACTCGTGGGAGGGATAGTCGCCCCCAAAACTAACATCTGATGTGATGAAGCAGGGAGTGAAAGTGGTAAGCCAGATGCTGTCTGAGCTGCACTTTCCGCAGTCAGCCCCGTAATACAATTCATGACCACCTGCCTCAAATGACAGCTTTTTACTAACCTATAAAAAAAACAGACTCTAGAAATCAAATAGAAAAAATGTGAGTGAGCGCACTGTTTTCTTTACCCTTGCTCAGCTTTTCTCCTACAACAGTCTTTCAGAATAATCTGCAGGTACTTAAATAGCCTTTAATTTTAAAAACAGTCACTAAAGTTTTTTTTTTCCTTCCTCCCAGTGGCTCTGTTTTTCAGTACTTTGAAGTTATAAACTAATCTGCCTGAAGACGTCTCGTGAAAGAAAGTCAGCCACAGACTAAGCTTCCACAGAGAAACTTTTATCTGGACCTTGATTATGGGAACATTTACTTAAACCGATGATTATAGCTGCACATAATGGTACCATCTGAGATAGGGAAAGATTCGCGTATCATTAGACTAAATACGAGCGTGTTGCATAACCCTCGACAAGCTCGAACAAAGCTTTAAACCTGTAAATAGGATGCACTTTTTACTTTTACACACGGTCCCATTTAGAGCAATATTAAATCAGGAAAAAAAAATGCAGGGAGGTGCTGACCAGCTGAGCAAACATTCAGGGGATCTCAAAGGACACGAGGTCCTTGCTGGGAACATTGAAAGCAACTTCAGGTTGAAAAATGCAGCTCTCAGGGCTCCCCATTTCCCTTGAGTAAAATAAAAAATACAGTGGTCACAAAGTAATCTTGTCAAGGCACCAGAGAAAGCCCACCTCTGTCACCCGGGGCCACCCGGGTTAAAGCAGAGACAGGTTTATAGAAAACTGGTGAACAGCAAATCTGAAATTCAAGGCCTGGAGTGTTATAAATAACGAAGGGAGCGTACTCGTGGTCAGCGGGAGCCGTACACGGGAACCAGGCGTCCGGTTTGCAAACCAGCTGTGGCGAAGGTGGAACACGCCACCTGCCACCTGCTCGACCCTCCCGCACGTGGCCACCTACAGCGTTCATGCATGGAGCTGGGGGGCGGCGCAGGGGCGTCTGCAGACGACACAAGCTTGTTTCTTGGCTTTTACCTGGGACTGTGCTAACATTATAAAAACATTGCCTTGTTGCCTTACCTTCTGACAAATGTACTGTTAAATAAAGAGTCGCCTGGGCAATCCCACGTGGCCTGCTGTCCTTCCTGGGGGGCGGGGGGGGGGCTTGGCTGGGCACCCCCACTGTAGCCTGTTTCCTCTCTAACACGGTGAGATACTTCTAATGCCCATATTGGGAGGAAAAGGCGTCTGATCTGTCATTCCCATGGGGAACTATACGTTTTTTTAAAAACCCAATTCGGAAGCTCCAGTAATTGGCCTTCAAGCAGGCGCAGCTCTGACTGCGGGGGCAGCTGGTCTCTCTGGGGGAGGCCGGGCATTTTATCTGCTTTGCCACTTGGACTTCACTGTGGGGGTGAGAGCACTGAAAAGCCTTGCTCACTGGGCTGCTGTCTGGGATCCTGGGGGATCATAAAAAATCAGGATATAAGACTTAAAATAGGTCAATGCCAGCCTCCTAGTTCAGGAAAAGAGAGAAAGATGGGTTCCCCGGATTCAACTCAAATAAGTAGGTTCTTTGAGGGCCCGGAGGAGACCAACAGTATTGATGAAGGAATGAAGATTAATGAGGCCATGTGGTTTCATCCATCCAGCAGCACAGGGTTAGGACAGGCTTGGATGTTGGGAGTGACTAGGGATTGAAGGTGGGCAAGGGAAGTGTGGCCAGGGGACCAGGGAGTTGAGGATGGCGACGAGTGGCTGAAAAAAAATCAGGCAAGACTACAACAAAGAAATATACCCGAACGTTAATACTGGTCTACCCTCCACCACCAAACCGCCTATAAAATATTTCTACAAGGAGCTTTGAAATAAAGCTATTCTGATAATAAACAAGTTTAAAACCAAAAAAGGAGACCGAAAACAAACATTCCAACTTTTAGGCTAAAAACCGAATGTGAGATGATGGTGTTTTCCTAATTTTCACACACCTGCGCATACAGAACTCAGTGGTGTCCCCAACGGGGCGACGTATGCGGAGGCGATGGCGGTAAAGCCCACTCCCGGCGAGGAAGACAAGCGCAGCGGGATCGCGTGAACTGGGCAAGGGCCCGTGATGGATCAGTGAGTGCACCAGCCCAGGACTAGACTCCACGCGGTATTAGTCCCGTCACTGTGGTAACATATTAGCACGGACGCAGAAAACACCCGTTACATTAACTCACGGTTCTGGAGGCTGGAAGTCCAAGATCCAGGTGCCAGCAGTTTCGGCGTCTGGTGAGGACTCGCTTCCTCGCTTGCAGGTGGCAACCTTCTTGTATCCTCACGTGGGGGGGGGGGGCAGCCCTGCCCCTGCCTCCCACACAGACATTGATCCCATCACGGGTGCCACCCGCACAACCTCATGTAAACCTATCCCCCAAAGTCCCCACCTCCAAACACCTGTACACTGGGGGCTAGGGCTTCAGCATGCATTTTAGGGGGGGCACACACATTCAGTCTATAGCACCAGGGGACAGGGATATGTGTGTGTTGGGGGGGTCTTTAGAATTCTCTCTACCATACATGTTTTCTGACATACATTAGTTCATGTTGTCACAATTTCTCCATTCATCTTCCTTTCTTGCTAGTTTAGCTACTCATAAAAATGTATAGAGAAAAGTGACCATTGGTGTGTTTTTTTATTTGTATCTTCTATTAAATAAAATACTTCCACTAAACAAAATGGGTTCCAAAACAATCCACGAGCTTGGTAACGTAGTAAAACGATGTGGACACTTTGTGTTAAGTTTCTGTCCCATAAATCAATGTCTATAACTGTGCAAAAACATGAGACAATATGGAGACAAAAAACAGTGTATTCGATCACCACGGTCTCGAAGATCTTTTTAAAAAAACACAACAAAAAAACCTTAATTCTATATCAAAGACCATCACAAAACTCATGGATTGCAAAACGGAAGACTTCTCCCATTTGATCACACGGCCGGTAAGGAAATCCTATTTTTTGGCTGGGTAGGAGATCTCAACGGCTGTGGACCTTGAACAAGGCCGTGTACGTATCACGTGGAAGGCTAAAACCAGAAAAAAAGCACAGAGTCCAAAAGTTTACTTTTATTACAATTGTTTTTAAAAGTCAGCTATGATCTTGACCGATATGGGTAAGTCTGTAACAAGTCTCTAATGTCCAAGATATAAAAGGCAATAAATATAGATTCAAATTCAGCCTAAAAACGGGACTCTAAACCTAACTATCTGTAGTGTCACTTGGTTTCGGTATTTCAAATATATGCATAATTCTTAAAATGCTACAAGAACGCGTACAGTAAAGTTATTGCTCACTGGCTACCAACTAACCGTTCTCCACTGACAACGTACCCGGGTGCGGTACCTTCGAGCCTTCGTGAGGGGCCCCTGAGGGCTGCTGGTGCTGGGGGACCATCGGAGGTGGCGCCGTGATGGCACTGGTCCTTTCCGGTGGGGGGACAGGCACAGGGGCAGGTGCTGAACAACTCCAACCAAGCGGGACAGGAAGGTGATTTCCCAGCCGTCCCACAAATGGTCCCATTTCTTGCAAAAGACAGGCTGTCCCTGTGTCCCCGAGTGCTCCCCGGAACGCCTGTCCCCCGGCGCAGTGAGGTCAGCTTGCTTCTTACAAGCCCCATGTCCTGGTGCCGCATGTCGTCCACGGACAGTGAATCTTCGATCCTTCATTTTCTTCCAGAGCACATTCTCCGCGGCTTTCAAGTCACATTGTCATTAAGACAGGTCTTGTGACGTTTGTGCCCAAAACAATCGTATTACTTCTTCTTAGTGATAACAGAGATCAATTCTTCATTAACTACAACTCTATCAAGTTTCAGGCCAAGCTCCTTTGTCTTGGTTTAATCCTCGGATACAGCTGTAAGAGAGTTTATAAAATATTTACATACGTACAAACATCTCGAAAAATATTAGGGAGGGGCCGGGCTGATGGGACAGGAAAGAAACGAAGCTAAGAAAAGGACTCCTCCTGCCACGTGAAGCACCTGAGGACACAGGGATTCACATTTAGCAACTCTCCCGCTCAGCTCAGCTCTCCTGCAAGGACATTCAGAAGTCACAGGGTCCCTTAACGGTGACAAGAGCACCATGCAGTGATAGAAATCCACGGTGCTCTGAGCATGAACTACCTCAATCTGCACAGCTTGGTGAGCTGCAAATCAAGTCGGGCAAGAAATCAGGCTGCTGACGGTGGCCTGCACCTGAAGCTTCCACTGCAGGGGAAGCGATAAGAGATTCAGCCTCTTTCGACTTGGTTCACGGTGGACAGGACGCTGTGTCATGGGACGCCGGGCTGTCAGGGACGAAATGCCACAGACTGAAAGTCTACAGATTCGAGCAAGGATAAGTGCTGTGTTTTGTTTTAGGATTTTGTGGGCTTGTGTTTTCCATAACAAGAGCTGGAGAGGAGCATGTATGCGAAGGTCACGAGATCTCCAGTCTCCAAGCCAAGAGCAAGCCAAGCTAGTAATTCAACTAGAAAACCCAACAAAAGCCGCCCCCTCCCTCCCCCCCTCTCACAAAGGGAAAAAAGACTTTACTGAAAGAAAGTCGTCAGGCTTCCAGCCAGGACTGAAAAGCAAACTAAACTGGTGGATCGGCGTTATATACAGGATTATTTTTGCCACTGAGAAAAGATATTTAGCCAACACAATTTTATTAACTCGTACCTGGGCTTCTCACTAAAAATTCAACATTTATGCAAGTTTTTTTAATTCCAAAGAAAGGAAAAAAAAAAAATTTCCAAAGGACTGAGACTATTTAAATGCTGGGCTGAAATGAAAGTCTTCAGTCAGAGCCTGGGAGCCACACACGAGGCCGACCTGGGTCTCCGCCCACGGCTTCCACACCTGGGGGCGAATCCCTGCCCCCAAGTGTCACTACCCCCAGGGCCTCCTCGTCAGGGATTAAAATAAGCCCCAAATAAGCAACCAGCTCTCCGAGGCAGAGCTTTTGTCGGGTAAGAAAAGAAACGGTAGAAGTCAGAGTGCTTATCTGCTGATGTCTGCCCGAGACACACAGTCGTGACACTTCTCTGGTGCTAAAGATTTAGCAGAAGCGAATCTTAGGGTGCTCGAAAGAGACCCACCTCTGTATTTCTACTTCAACTGGTAACTTAAATGCCTTTTAAAGGGCTCCGTGGCCTGATTTACTTCACTCCCATCGCTCTCCATCATTTACATTATGATTACATGAAGGATCACTGTTTAATAATAAATTCTGCCGTCACGGAGGCAGCCGTCGGATGGATGAAGTCATTCAGGCTGCCCAGGAGACAAGCGACAATGGAGAAGGCAGAGTCGGGAGGAGGTGGTGCCAGTCACCGTCCAGCCAGCCAGGCCCCGACGTGAGTCACTCGGACCAGCTGGGCAGCAGGGGGCTCAGCCAGAGCCTGGGTCCCGGCCTCCAGGCCAGAGTAGGAGCTAAGTGGGCACAGGCCACGTCTGCCTAACAGCGGATGAAATGCACCTGCCTTACCCTGTCCCAGGAGGCGACCGTCTCCAGCCTCCCCGCCTTCGTCCCGCTGGCCCGGTCACCCAGGTCCTAGGGCTCTTGGTCCTGGGGTGCTCCCGACCCGCGTGCTGGGCGCTGTGGGTCGCATCGGCCCCTCCCGCCCCCGGGCTCGCCTTTACTGCCCCACGGACAGGTTCCGCAGGCACTTGCACCTTTCAACTTTTATGTCAGCCTCTCAACGAACCTCAGCATTTCTCTCCCTCTTTCTCACACGTCCAACGTGCCCCCAGGGGACCCCTGAGCGAGGCTCATGCAAAGCCCGGGAAGATGCCACTCCCACCCTTCCCTCTGTCCCACACGCCAGCCTTCTCCCTGGGCACCCTCCTGAGGGTCTTTATCTGCTGACAGGCCCCCCTCTCGTGGGTTCTTGATGAATATGATCTTATCATTTCCTTGAGGGTTTTATGAAACTTAAAATCCAACAGCAGAGAAAGAGCGAAGACTCCTGTCTTCCGCGCCCTACTCGAGCTCGCTCCCGGATCTGCAAATCCCGATTTAAACAAGTTTAACTCTTATTTCAAATGTCAGCCGGTTACTTAGCTTTACTTGTAAACGCAGGCAGGAGCCCTGGCTGCCAGGGGCTGGCAAACACGGAAACGTGCTGTTGGTCATACGTAGGAATCACTGGAAAATGTGGCTTTGGGTCTAAACCTAAGACGGTCAGCATTTAAAAGTTCCACGCCCCGCGGGCAAAGGGCAGCCGGCCGCGCTGTATCCTAACGCGCGGGGGTCTGCGCAAAGGCCCCGTGACACCCACCCGGACATCCGAGGGGCGCAGGACTTACCCCCAGCAGGTTGCGGGGCACGTAGCCCTCCCTCTCGTCCAGGCGCGCCCACCACCACTCGGTTTCGCACTCGTCCTCCCGGCGGACGACTGTCATGCAGTCGCCTTCCCTCAGGGGCAGCTCGTCGTGGTTCTGAGGCTCGTAATCCCAGAGCGCGTAAATGACGCCTTTGTTCATTATGCCCATTTTCTCCTGGACGCCTAGAATCAGACGGCAAGAAAGGGCACAGAGTGTGTCACCTGGCGCAGCTGTACCAGGCCAAAGGGGCACCGGTGGCACGCGCTGGGCCGCGAGCGCTTCCTCCGCTCAACATTCGCCAACGCGCAGCCCCCCGGGCGGGGCGGGGCAGGGGGAGCAGGCGGAGACAAGCTCCACGTGCTGACAAACACCAGACAACCTCTCAAAACCAGTCTGACTCCGAGCACAAAGGCTCTGCAAGGCCAGGGATAAAAAAAAAAAAAGTGTGACCGATACGCCCGTCGGCTTCCAGCCTACTCCTGAGTATGGCGACAGGGAACTCCGGGCACACGCTTACTTCGACCTCGCCCTAACACTCAGGGCGGACAGGGGGCAAAAGAGCAGAAGTGTGTAGCTATTAAAGTGGCCTCCATCGATCTCCAAACGGGGAAGCGGAGAAGAAAACCAGGTAAGATAGGCCGGAACGCAGAGTATTTTAGACGCGATAAAAAATGTTGGCACACAGTCGGCTCTAAAATTAAACGAGTCCGAATTCTAGGAGACAGTGAAATCCACTAGCTGGGGAGGGAGATAAACGCTCCGAAGGCCCCTTTCCAGCAGAGTTAACGTCACCCTAGTGCCCCCTTTCTCCACGGTGCCCTCCTCCCTGGCAGGGCACTGCTAACGAGTAAAGGTCCTCAGCGGGCAGGCGGCAGGAGGGACGCGGGGAGGGGGGGGAATTAGGCAAAAAGGGCCCCGAGCGAGCACTGCGGAGTGCACTATTATTTTCGCCTTGGGTTTGCAGGAGAGCCAGGAAAATACCTGCCTGCTTTTAGTCAGGTTCTTCCAACATAACGTGGACACTAAACTGTCCATTAGGAACTTATTCCGATGCCACCTAATACGATGCAGCCCCTCAATCTGGGCAAAAATGAAACAAATGAAAATGGGGGCAAGTAGATTTCCAAGTTTCCCGTTGAGAGACCTGGGTCGAAATGACCGACTCCGCTCTAGAACCGGAGGTGGGAAGGAGGGGACTCCGGTTACGTAAGTTACAAAGACACAGCATCGCCCGCTCAGTGGCAGCCTCGGGAGAGGATCTCTGGGTCATCAGGAGCCACGGGTGCCACCAGATCAGACACGGGGCGCCACCGTCTCTGGTGGCGGCAGGGGTCCCCGGCAAGCACACAAAAGCAGCACTACTGTGCGTGGTCGAGGCGGCCCTGTTTATCCAAATGACGGAAATNGCCGTCTCCGGGCGTACGCACAAAAGCTGCACTACTGTGCGTGGTCGAGGCGGCCCTGTTTATCCAAATGACGGAAATACTTATCGAGTCCTGCCCGGGAGAAGCGGGCGCCGGGCGGGGACGCACCGTAGAGAAACTGGGAGCACTGCGCGTAGCCCNTACTTATCGAGTCCCGCCCGGGAGAAGCGGGCGCCGGGCGGGGACGCACCGTAGAGAAACTGGGAGCACTGCGCGTAGCCCTCCTCCATCTCCTCGCACTTGTCGGCGGCCGTCTGCATGTCGCTGTAGGTCATGGCGAACACGGCGGCCCCCGACTCCACCAGGAACTTGCAGACCTGCACGTTGTTACAGGAGGCGGCGCAGTGCAGCGGGGTCCTGCGGGGGACACACGGCGGGGCCTGAAATGTCTCCTTCCACGGAGGGGCGCCCGCGGGGATAAGGGATCTGTAAAGGACGCTCGTGAGTCTGTCACCTACTAAGCCCTTTCTTCTGGGACCCTCTTCACGGCTTCTTTGAAACCAGTTACACGCGGCCACGTGGCAAGGACAACGGTCGGAGTGCTGGACTGTACAGGGGCGGGGAAGCGGGGAGGGGAACCCAGGAAACGAGAGCAAGGGCATGGCGGGGAAGGGAGGCCTGCTGAAGCCAGCATTTCTCGAACCTGCTGGACATGCTGATCAGCGGTGTGCCACTTTGTGACATCTTATTTTGATTACGTAAATACTAAGCTTTTAGCCCGGCCGGCGTGGCTCAGAGGTTGAGCATCAGCCTACGATCCAGGAGATCTCGGTTTGATTCCTGGTCAGGGCACACGCCTGGGTTGGGGGCTCGATCCCCAGTGGGGATCATGCGGAGGCAGCCGATCAGTGACTCTCATCATTGATGTTTCCCTCTCTCCCCCCCTCTCCTTTCCTCTCTCTGATAATCCATAAAAAAAACACACACACAAAAAACACACAATAAACTTTTAAACCTCCATCTGCTCCCAGAATGGGAGTGNTAATCCATAAAAAAAACACACACACAGAAAACACACAATAAACTTTTAAACCTCCATCTGCTCCCAGAATGGGAGTGAGATGCCTGTTCCACGAGGACATAGCAATTCCTCAAAAACGCCCACGTTCCCCCTTCGAGGTAACAGGCAGCGTGAGGACAGACAGGACACACTTCCTCCTACAGACCGACGGACAGCACCGCTCTCACTGCCTACGCGCAGCAGACACAACTCGAGGGTGAGCAGAGTTGCAAGGAAACCTCACCACCCATCGCTGTCGGCGGCATTTACGTTCACACCGAACTGCACCAGGAACTTCACGATTTCCGTGTGGCCGGCGCACACAGCGTTGTGGAGCGCCGTGATGCCTTCGTCGTTGGGCAGGCTCGGGTCGTCAACCTAGGCCAGCAACGGGAACGATGAGCTGCTCGAGTTTCCTGACACCTGAACTGTCCCTATTTACTGGCTCTTTGGGATCAGGAGAACAGAAATAGACTCGTGGTCTTTCTTTTTTCTTTTTAATCATAATTAAAACCTACAGGAGCCAAGAAAACAATACCTAGAACAATTGCTAGAAATAAGACAGGGGAGATAGCCACATTAGGTAGGCACTTGCTATAAAAAGGTTTCTTAAAAATTGAAGGAGAAACCAGAAACTCTATCCTTATAATCGTTTTTGTTTATTTATTCCCCCAGCTTCCCACCACAAATTAGTGTCTAACTGGAAGCGGCATTTTCCACGGAAGGAAAAAAAAAGGTCAACTAAAAATATGTTAAATTGTAGGCTTCTGAAAAGCAGGGACCGCATCTGTAATCTAACACTGTCGCATATGAATCCACACACGAGCAGTTTTTCAAGGAGGGTAGCGGTCTCCCCGAGAAAGGGAAGTGCTCTAGGGGAGACCCCAGTGAAAACGGAACCTCTGCGTTATCGAAATTTTTACAGTCCCACCTTTGGAACAGCAAAGCCCGCTTGGGAGCAAACTCGGGAGTTTCTCTCCACGACCCCGCCTCCCCCAAAAGGAAATTTTAAAAACTACAGTTTCTACGTTGCAGCTTCCCGATTAGAGCTTTCGAGCAAACTATAACACAAGGTCGTGCCTCAGAAACGAACTCCGTCCCACCTCATAAATAATCCTCTGCACAAGGTCAAATTCTCCCTCCAAAGATGAGTCCAGGAGTAAGGCGAGGGGGTTGAATTTCACCCTCATTCCGTGAGCAATTCGCTCGGAACCGGTTTTACGTAAGTTTGTCCTCTTGCCCTGAGGAAGAAAACGGTGGAAAAATAAGGACCCTGGTCTCAGCGAGAGACCAACGACAAAAAGGAGCGATGACATCTCAGCCGAGTTGGTAAAAGACGCATAAGATACATACTCAGCACTTTATTACTAAAGTGTAACATTATTCAGAAAGGTGTAGAAACCACAACAGCTTAATGGGATATACCCACGTAACAAAGTGGAAGGAACGTAACTTTTTCAAGCCTAGTGAGATACATTTGTTCATCAGCAGGAACTGAGCCAAGGGGACCATGTCCAGTGACAGGCAGGCTTGTTTTCTGTCAAGCTCAAAACTGGCCAAGACTGGTCTTTAAATTATCTATTTAATATAGCAAACCCCACCCAGTTAAATAGGGCAAGAGCTAACCCTAACCCTACCCCTTCTCCTCCTTCCTCTCTAAAAATCAGTAAAAATAAGAAAGAACAAGACTCTGTTTCCTTCACGAAAAGGGGAGGGGGTTTTGTCTGATAAAACAAAAATGTACTTCATACTGAGCATATTCATTTTTGACATTTCTAAGATCCACTGTGTGCCGAAAGAATTATAAAATAAAGAGGCAATCTGCAGGGCACGTGTACTACAATAGGCAATTTAAACACAAACCTTCCTTGCGAATGGCTGTCCGTTACTTGCAGGTGCCTCACTGAGTTTCGACGATCGCTGCCTAGGAGCGACGAGGCTCCCGAAGCCATCACGAGACGCCACGTTACTTACCGGAGGCAGCGACACCTGCCCGGTGATCTCAGGCGGACGCATGCTCCCCGAGTCTTCCCCCGGCGCCTCTGGCTCCCCCGATGGGTACGGCGGTGGAGGGTAAGGGGGATACTCCTCCAGGTACACTTCGAGCAGATGGGGAGCCTCTGGGTTTGGTTCTTCCACATTATTCTGGAAATTCGGGCTGGCGTCTGGGACTCCCTCCGGCATATAATCAAGGCCCGGGGAAGGAGCCGGCACGTCGCTGTTCTCTGGGCTGGCGTTCCCAGCTTCCTCGGGGGACACTGGCTCGGGAACCAGAGATGCCACCTCCTTCTCGGGCTCCCCGTGTAAATACGGGTTCTGGATGTCCACGGGGCTCTCGGAGCCGGCGGTCACCGGGGTGGGCTTGGGCGGGTAGGATGGCACCGAGATGGTCTCCATGGCAGCTATGGTGGTCCTCTGGTACAGCAGCTTCTGAATGTTCGGCCCATTGGGGCCCTCGGGCTCAGTGATGGAGCTCCGCTTCTTCAGCGGCCTTGGCGCGTTGGACAGTTTCTTCCGCAGGGCTTCCAAGTCGGCGTCGCTCTGGTTTCGGTAGGGATGCGACAAGAAAGGCAGCAATTTGGTGGGGCTGAGGGGTCGAGGGATCCTTTCGTTTTCGTGGCTCTCCTGCACTGAAGAGGCCGGCTCTGTTTCGGGCTCCGGGCCGCCGGGCTTGCCCTGGGTGCTGGAGTAAATGTTGTCCGGGGGCTGCTGCTGATTCTGGGCAGCAATCACAGGCTTGCCATAGACTAATCGGAAATGGAAAAAAGCTCTGATTAACGTTAACTAAACAAAACAGGCACGTGACAGGCACGGCTAACAATAATTAAAGCTGCTCTTAATTTCAGAGTTACTACACAATATCCTTCGCTACAACTCATTTTTTAAAACGACAAAGCAAAGCTTCCTGCTTTGCCTAATAGACTTACTATAGCCGATTGTAGCACGCGCCATTCTTTTATGTACTAATAAGAAAGAAAATGCTGCCAATTATAAGAAACCACTGGCTGTGGCATCCAAATTTAAAACGGCAAAATGCAAAAAAACTGAGAATCACTGGAAATTGGTAACCCTTTCGTGCACCCAGATTAAAACTGAACACACACTGTCCCATCTTTCAGAATTTTCCAAAGTAAATCCATATGAGAAATCAAATTTGATTTACAAAATTACTAAAAACACTTATATTTAACAAAACTATTCCCCTTACCGTTCTGAGTATATCAGTATTATCTACTTCCCAAATTACATTAGCAGTCAGTTTTTACCGAGACCCATGAAAAGAATAAGATGTGCATTTATGTTCATTCTTTGCTGTCTCACTGTGACATTTTAGGCCACAATTGCACGCTCACTTCATGACTAGAAAGCCATTTTCTTTCAACTGGAAGCTGGTGAACTTTATCCTAGCCCTATAACGACTCTTAGAAAGAACAAATGACCAGGTTGCGTACGTTTAACCAAGTTATCTCTTTGTGTTTTTATAGTTACCTAGTGGCTAGTGTGCTCATCAGAACAACTTAAACTACAACAGGGAGGGTTGTTTCTTAAAAAAACACCTCCATAGGGGCAGCAGTCCTCGCACCAAGGAAACACCTGGTCACGTCCTTTACCGACGGGTGACAGCTCCGGTGCGGGACTCACACCAGTCTCCCAGGCGAAAATAAGGCGGGAAGCTTACCGCTGGAGAAGTGCAGCCCTCGGGGTTGCGTCTTGGTCAGGGCGCTCTGCACGGCCTGCTGGAAGTTCTTCCCGGGGGCCTGGAGCTGCGTGTACATGGAGTAGATGGAGCTGGCTGCCACCGTCTGGGGCTTCCTGAAGGGGGGCAGGGCGGCGTCTTTGGACGGCTGCGGAGTGAAGGGCCGGACGGCGGCGGCAGGCGGGCTTTCCTGCTTAGAGCCCGGGAGGCCGGCTTGGTCCTGGCCGCCCGGGGGCGCGCCGGGGGCCAGCAGGACCCTCGGCTGCTGCCCCGAGGCTTTGGGTTTGTTCCCCACGGACGCGACGGCCGTGGACAGCTGCTGAGGATTTCCATCGGGCTTAACGTCTGACGGGGACTGGTTCGTCTGTCCAAAGTAAGGCAAATTAATCTGCTTGGGTTTTGATGGGACGGGAGGTGGTACTTTCACATTTTTATTTGCAGCCTGTAAGACAAACACACACGGAGCCAGTAAAAATACTGCAGAACTGGGGACACAGGACGTCCTACAAAACCGGACTCCACAAATGTAAGTGAACACTAAAAATACTAGTGCTGCATGTCTGAATCGTTCAAATTTGAGCTTTAAATCTGTGAAACGAATCACATTTCATAGGGGACTTCAGTGACACGGTACGATTCCCACCCTGAACGACCTCTTCTTCGTTACCATTTCCTGTCCTCAGCGCCCCCTGGAACCTTCTAACTACCTTTTTGTATTCAGACGACATCGATACAGAAAACCACCGCGTTCACTGGAACCTCACTCCATCTCGGCCCCTGTGGTTCGAAAATGCCAAACTGGGAGCACGCGGCCACAGCCGGCTTGTCTGAGGCTGGGATCCTAACAGACGAACCACCATCAAATCATCTGACATCAACTCGGCTCCAAATGTTGAGGAAAGGAGGTAACGGAGCCACACACATTCGAAGCTCTTCAACGCTCTCGTATGTTTTAGAGAATGACAAGAAATACGACCTGGGTGCAAGCACGTCAGCCACTCCATTCCCCACTACGGTGCGACACCCAGAAGAGACAGAACTGGTAACAGCAGGATGTGTAACGCTTCCTAACCTTCCAGACGTATCTGGCTTTTTCCCCTGCTCTCCCTCAATACACTTAGAATTGCCGCTGAATTTTAAACCCGGGGTATTCTCAAGCACCTGAGCATCCCGCAGGATATCTTCACTGCTCTGGTTTTTCCTCAGGGCCCCAAAGGAGGGCGGGGCAGCGGACTGGTCCACGGTGTCGAACATGGAAAAGGGCCGCACTTTCTTCTCTCTGTCCCTCAGCGGAACGTCCCCATCATCGGCTGGAGAAGACGGAAGAAGAAAAAAAAAAAAATCACATTGATATTCAAACTGTGTATGATAAACTCTCGTGCAGAAGTTTCTCTCTCAATCTCTCTGAAACCCTGTACCCACGAAGTGATTCCGGGTTTTTAAACGAAGCTGACTGAGGAGGAGCCCAAGCACGACAATGCTGGTGCTGCCCACTTCCCCGGCTAAGTGAAGGCGCCCTGGAAATACCGTCCCTGGTTTTTAACACCCTAGAAAACAGACGATCTAGAAAAGAGCACGAGGCCCCTTTTACACGGCCCACGGAGGAAGTTCGGGAGCCGCGCCCAGGGGCCTCACCTGGGTCTGGAGAGTTCCCGGAGCTTTTCGGGACAGAAGCAGAGGCTTGGCTCGGGAAAAGGTCTGCATTTGGACTCCAGTCAGGGCCGAGTGAATGGATTTTTGAGCCTAGAATAGAGAAGAGGGACCACAAATAACCCGGCATCCTGAAGAGATTTTTAATGATTTGTTTTGCTGCCTAACAAGTGGAACCTCTTAAAAACAGCTTTAAATTTCAGATTCAACCATCCCAAATCAACTTATTTAGAAAATAATAGATTGTGTTATTTCTAATTGAAGATTTTTTTCCCCCCCTTTCTCAAACAACTTAAAATTAATCGTGGGAAACAGAAAGTCTGCCAACAAGGACACATTACTCTTGGCTGGGTAAGAAAACGTCACCGTCACACCCAGGAAACGGTCCCTAATTTAGCAGACGGGGGCCCTAGGTGAATCTTACCTAACGACACCACAAGTGCCCACGCACTACAGAAAGGCAAAGACGCAGATTCTGACCCATGACGTCGACTAGTCTTCCCCAACCCAGCGGAGTCAGGTTTTTGCTACACTGACATTTAAGTTTGAAACTTTCTATTTTTCCTTATAGAAACAAAACGAAAGCGCCTCTACAATAAAACCCACCAGGTACCATCGCTTCGCAGTGGCAACTATGGCAAAATAACAGTTGCAAAGTTAGCAAACCTGTGCCCGAGTGCGGTTAGGAAAAGAGGCCATGCCGGCTATTACTGTTTTCTTCCAAGGGTTGGAAAAATGTTTTTACCCCGCTTTTCCCACAGCCCTCCCTTCCTTTCCCTCCTGTTACAAAACTCCGGCTTGCACGTCCCCCTGCATCTAAGGCCTGCCCAGAATGCGAAGCTCACTAACGCAGGAGCCTCCGCGGGTCTCACCTCACCTCCCAACACGTTTTCCTTCACTCTAGAAATCATCGGCAGGCACGTGCTCAAGCGTAAGCACATCTGATGTAAGCACCGTTTATCAACGGTGGGCTTGCCACCTTGCGCTCGGCAGGGACCCCACCCGGACCGCACACAGAAAGAAAAGCTCTCAGCTACTGACACCGACCACAATTTCCTTACCCACGAGGGAGAATTCACAACAATTTTCAGATTTGCAAAAATAGTACAGCCTGTTTCAGTTCCTGAATGGAACGGAATCATTACTTAGGGTTAAGAAACTTCCTGCCCCAGCAAAGAATCAAGGAGGTTCTTAGAATTTAAACACAAACAGGGATGGGGAAGACATCTGAAAGCTCATACTTGGGGACACACCGCAGTGAGGGCGGGCGGAGCCGCCTGTGGAAGGACCCGAACGTGACTGGTTTTACCTTTAGCCTGAGCCGAGGCCCCGGATCTCATGTTGGGCAGCGTGTGGACTTTCATGGGCCCCTCCACAGGCTGCATGGCCAAGGGCCCGTCGGGCAGAGCCGGCTTCACCAGCAGCTCCGGCCGGGACGGCATCCGGGGCATGGTGGACGACTGGATGTAGGGACCCACGGCAGCCACGCGGCTCGGTGCTGACACCCCTTGCGGGGGCAGGTTCCCATCGGGTGACACCTTAGGAGAAAGCAGAGGTCCTTCAGGATCCCAAGTCAGACTGGATCAAGCTCAGAAAAGGCCGTGAGATTTTCATAACGTTTCAAAAAAAAAAAAAAAGCCAGCTCTAGCCGAAGAGTCTACTAGAAACATCCCAAACAAAAACACCGCCCGCAGAACTTTCCCCCGTCCTGTGTTACAAGAAAACCGGAGCTACGCGGCTGCTTGATCAGCACGCACAAGAAGAGTGGGCTGTCGCCGAGCTGCTCTGGCACCGTCTCTCCCCAGAGGGCACAGTGTGTACTGCCCACAAAGATGCCACTGTGGGAACGGCCCTCACGGGGCCGGGGCAGCCCCTCCCGCCNGTGACACCTTAGGAGAAAGCAGAGGTCCTTCAGGATCCCAAGTCAGACTGGATCAAGCTCAGAAAAGGCCGTGAGATTTTCATAACGTTTCAAAAAAAAAAAAAAAGCCAGCTCTAGCCGAAGAGTCTACTAGAAACATCCCAAACAAAAACACCGCCCGCAGAACTTTCCCCCGTCCTGTGTTACAAGAATCAGCAAGAAAACCGGAGCTACGCGGCTGCTTGATCAGCACGCACAAGAAGAGTGGGCTGTCGCCGAGCTGCTCTGGCACCGTCTCTCCCCAGAGGGCACAGTGTGTACTGCCCACAAAGATGCCACTGTGGGAACGGCCCTCACGGGGCCGGGGCAGCCCCTCCCGCCGCCGGGCAGCCCACTCACCGGGACGTTCTCCTTCTGCTGCAGAGCCGCTTTCTTCTTCCACAGCCGGTCCCTCAGCTCGCTCACACGCTTGTCCATCACCGCCACCTCCGAATTGCGCTTGTTCAGACACTCCCTCTGCTGCTGCAGCTTGGCGTTCTGCTCCTGGTTCAGCTTGTTCCTTAACTGAACAGAAGGGGGGACACCCAGGCGCGCTCCGTGGAGTCGCAGGGCTCGCCACCGTACACCTTCCAAACGCGTACGGCCCCTCCGCCCCCCACCCTTCTCCGAACCTCAGGGTGGCTGTTTCGGTTTTTTTGTTTCTTATTTTTAAATATGTTTTTATTGATTTGGGAGAGGGAGAGGGAGAGGGAGAAACATCGACCGGTTGCTTCCTGCACGCACCTCGACCGGGGATCAAACCCGAAACTGACCGGGAATCAAACCAGCAACCTTTCAGGGCACAAGACGACACCCAACTGAGCCACACAGGCCAGGGCTCATCTCGAGGTTGAAAGTGCAGTGAGAGGCCTCTGGCTGTGGTTCTGAGGACTGCCTCAGATTTCCGATGTGAGGGACTATAAATTTTATCCTGGGTTCTTAGAAGCTTAGGTCTGCCTCCCCTCCAACCCCTTTAAGGAAAAGACAGGGAAATCCAGCACTTCCTGCCACTTCTAAGGACAACTCCGTGTGCCTGGGGAGGGGGTTTCACTGAGCCTCACAGCAGCCCCTGGGGTACCTGCAGCTCCTTGTACAGACGATCGAGCTCGGCCACCGCGGACTGGTTGTCATGGTGGCCGTCGATCCTGCCGTTCTTGAGCATCTCGAGCTGCCTTGTAAGCTCCTCTACTTTTGACACGGCCAGGACGAGCTCCCTCTGCTTCTGCTGGAACAAACTATTCATCTGTTCAATCTCCTCCACTGGAATGAAAAAAAAAATAAGAATGGACCACTTCCCAGGCGACCAGACTTCACAATGAACTTTCTAACGAAAAGCAGAGGAATTTTCCAGAAACGTCCTAGAGCCAACCTATTTGTTTTATGAGCAACTGAAACCAACAGAGACATCTCGAAATATCTGTGCCTCATTCTGAATGAACGTTTAGCACAATTTGTATGATGAATACAATTAAACATTAAACTCCATCCATTTCTTGAGACTTTTTCATCTCAGTTTTATAATGGTAGATGGAGCTGTTAAATCACTAACATTTTAACTTAAATGGTCTTATAATAGATGGAGCTAGTAGATTGACTAAAAATCCCTGCCTTCACCTAATTTTCAGTCAAAAACTAGAAAACAAATTACTACTACATTTTCCGAAGGTAACTTTAGAAGCTTGTCTACACGTTCAACAGCTGGATTCATTCAGGGGAGCCAGCGGCATCAACACTACAGTGAGTTTTACTCTCAAAAAATTCTCTTAAAGTTACCCACATACAAAGTCTCATCTCACTCCTCTTACTACAAATCTATACAAACGTCCTACACAGGTGTTTAACACCCACACAGTGTCCCATGTGGCCTTTAGAACCGAAATAAACTGGCGGGTGGGACTCACCGAGTTTCCCATTGCTTAGTCTCTTCTGTTCCACGTGGCCTTTAAGCGCTCTCACTTTTTTCAGCTTCGCTTCCTGATTCTCGGCGATTTCTTTTAGCCTCTTCAGCTTCTGCTGCTCGGCAGCCTGCTGCTGTTGCCGCTGATCCTGCTGTTTCAGAAACTTCAAGCGCTGTTCCTAGAGATGAAAGCCACGATCGGGCCCTTTTTAGCTACGAGACTGTGGGCAACTTGCGTAAGCTCACCAAGTATGCAAGTCTGTTTCTTCATCTATAAAATGGACGACCAATAGTAACCACCTCACAGGGCCACGTGAGGGTTAAATAAAATGTGAAATGTAAACCTCTTTGCACCTTACATAGTCAAAAGACACTCAGTAAACACACTTAGGGCCAAAGCACTTCTTACCACCTTTAGGAAACTGCATTGTACAGCTTAAAATTTTCTTCTATTATGTTAAACATTTTACGTAAAACTGAGAGATCTACACAATTTATAATAAAGAGTACACTTCCCAGATTAATGTGCCTAATGCATATAACTAACACAGAAATCATTTCAAAGTAAGACCCTAAGGCTAGAGATTTCTTCTGTTAACCTTCTTATTTGAATTTATGTCTCTGCCACTTAAGGAACGATACCCTCACGGCATCACCCCAGGAGCTTGTTAGCAACTCAGAATTTCAGGCCCCACCCCAGACCTACTGAACTGGGGCCTGCATTTTCCACGAGACGCCAAGGTCATTCATACGCACACAATATGCATAAATTCATACGCCTACTGAAGTCTGAGAAGCAATGAGACGCATGATTGTGAGAAAGCCGGTGTCTGCGTGCAGAGGAAGCCGGGGGAGAATCCCATGGACGGCACTGGAGTAAAGAGGAGATAGCACCGCCCAGCGGGTGACTTTGGGGCTGAGAGTACACGCTCCTGTCTGTAACTGGCTTAATAATGAGGGTAGAGCGGAAGCAGCTTTGCAGGTGCACCAGCAGGAGCGGCCCCTGAGGCCTTTCAAACCGGACGCTACCTTAGTGGCCAGCATCTGCTGCTGGGCCTCTATCTGCTGCTGCTGGCGAGAGGCCATTTCCTGGAGTTCAGCGAGAGTCAGGTCCATCCTGGGACTATTAACCTACAAACAGAAAACACAAACAATCCACTTAACACAAAACAATCACAGAGATTTCTCCCCACGAGGTCTGTCTATACCATTTGTAAGCTTCACCTGAACCAGTCATGTCACAATTATTCAGCCGGTTTCCCCCCCCATAATATTAAAGAGACCATTGATTTTTATAGACACCCCCACATTGACTTATTATTAGGTTAAGGTGTAAAACATACTAATATACAGACCAACGCTCTTTTATTTTAAGTGGTAAATTTAAAATTAAATAGTTTCTATAGTCAGTGGCATAAATGGAACAACTTAGAAATACCCTGTTCTGTAGTTAATTTATATTAGGAAAGTAGTGTTTGATCATATTAAAAAATGATAGTGGGGCATTGGTGGCAAACCTATGGACCACCATTAAAAATATGACACTAGCATTAAAAAGTTCAAGATACACTGGATCATCAGGAACAAAAAGCGAGATGTCTACTCTCAGAACATCTTCAACGTGGTCCTAGAATTTCTAGCCAGCACAATAGGACAAGAAAGACAAGTAAATTGTATCCAGACCAGAAAGGAAGAGTTTAAGCTGTCACTAACTTATAGACAACAGATCATCTATGAAGAAAATCGCATGGAACCTGTGTAAGAAAACTATCAGAATAAATTACTCAGCAAGGCTACAGGACTAAAAAAATCAATCATATTTCTATATATAGACAAAACCAGAAATGGAAAAAAATTTCAATACTGGTTACAGTGGCATAAGAAAATCTAAAGTACATAGGAATAAACTTAACAGAAGATATGCAGGGCCTACACACTGAAAACTTCGAAAGGCTGCTGAGAAAAAGACGACCTAAGCAAACGGCGAGACACAGCCTGACGCCCGTGACCCGAAAAGCTCGATGCTGTCAAGACGGCAGTTCTCCAAACTGATCTATAGACGCGACAGAATCCCAGCCAATATTCCAGCAGCGGGCTTTTCTGTATAAACTCCTTGAGGGCGAGGAGGGAGCCCAGAAGGGAAGAATTACAGAAGGACACAGGGAAACTCTGAGGGGGTGACAGACATTTTCCTGATCTTGGCTATGGTGATGGTTTCAGAGGTGCGTGCAATATGTCAAAACTTCTCAAATTGTGCACTTAAAATGTGCGTCGTTTGTTGCATGTTGATTATACATCAGTAAAGCAGTAAAGCTGTGGTTTTAAAAAAAAAAAAAATACCCAGTGAAGGGCAAAGATATGTTGTGTCAAGATGCATTCAAATCCTGTTAATGGCGAAGACCATCCTTGAGAGTTTAGATAAATCTGGATTCTAGCAGGAGCAGGCTGGGGTAAGGCAATTTAGCTAACCCCCAGCAGAATTAAAAATTCTGAGCTCCGAAAACATGTAAAGGTGCCCCAAAGATACTTGCTGACATTCGTATGCAAGAGCCAAAGCATTGCTGTGTAATTTTCCGTGTTCTAGAAGCATCCCAGCGACAAATAAAATCACCCCAAATGAAATATCCCTCACGCAGGCTCTCCATTTGCTTTGTTCTGAATCTGTGGCATATTCGGCATGTAATTTCTTTCAACAGTCAGCATTGTAGGCATGATTAAAATGAACTTTCTGTGAAATATAAAATAACCTTTTTCAAAGGGGCCACTGGTATGGTACCCCACTGAAAGCAGCAGTGCCTGGTACGTGCTCAGCGGGGGCAAGAAGGTCACTCACCCCGTTCTCCGTCCTTCGATGGTCACCGGGCACTTTCACACCATTTCTTTTTAAAGTTGGATCCTGAGGCCTCGGTCCGCTCACTAAGCACAAAATTCAAAAACTGGGCATTAAACCAGAGTTGCCAGGTACTCTAAGTGCCAGTTCATTTCTTGGTTCTGTCATCACGGCCCTTTGATATTTTTAAGTTGGAAGTAAGCTTCAAACAAGCTATTTTCTAACAGCGATGGCATTAAGGTATCAAAATTCAGCCTGTTTTAGAAAACCGTGCTTGGGACAGGGAACAGTGAGTGACCTTTAGAAAATACCACGTGCTAACTATTCCCTAGGAAGGCTGCATGATTCAGAGACCAGAAGAGGGGCGAAAAAATTAACAAAATAAATGTACTTCTGATTATGGGTAATTCGCACCATTCGCTTACAGCAGCTCCCCCTAGCTCTCCATTNACTTATAGCAGCTCCCCCTAGCTCTCCATTTAGCTCCTCGGTGGTGAAATCACGGATAGTTTCGTTGAAAGAGTTAAGTGAAAATTAAATCAATCCATCCTTGTGTTCATTAAGAGTGTTTTGTGACTTATACGGGAAGGAAGCAGTTGAAAATACACGTGGTATTTTGAATATTTGGCTTACAGAGGACATTCTGTGGTAATTTATAGGTACTATGAAGTACTTCCCCATTTATTTAAGTAAAAAACTTCCGATTTCTTAGTCTGGGAAGGTACTAACTGGAAAGCACTGTATTCTGTGCTTTTTTGGCTAAAACTAGTGTTTCAAGCCAAAATAGATGGGTCTCTCAGTATCACTTAATGTACCATAAGGGGGACATAATCTTAAACTGATACATCATAAGAAACAAACAATATCAACAAAGAGAATTTTTAAAATACATGAAATTGAGCTTATATGTGTACTTCCAGAAATTAGAAAAATTAGTAAATTACCTGAAGAAATTTTAGATTAAAATTTCTTTTGAATCAAATCTCTATTGCACTTGCCTTGAAGCTTAGCACAAATTCCCATGCCAATAAATATCCTCAGAGCCAGGTATCACACTTATCCCTAACCCTAACGTGTTTTATTTTTAAAATACTGTTCAGCCCTGGCCAGTGTGGCTCCGCTGGTTGAGAGTCATCCCATGGACCTAGAGTCACCGGTTCGATTCCCGGTCAGGGCACAGGCCTGGGTTGCAGGCTCAATCCCCAGTAGGGGGCGTGCAAGAGGCACCTGATCAACGTTTCTCTCTCCCTCTCCTTTTTTTTTTTTCTAAAATCAATAAAACCATATTTTAAAAATCATAATAAAATAAAAAATTAAAACATTGTTCAATTCTCTAACAAAATAGCTCCAGTAATGTGTCCCATTATTTCTGCAAGAAAAACAAATCTGCCATTTAGGATCAATTGCATTCTTTACTGCCTCAAAGACAGCACCCAACCACTTTCTCCTTGCCAAGTTCAGTTCCACAGTTAGAGAGGCAAGAGCGTTAAAAATTATTCCATAGACATTCTGGGTCCCAGGTCCTAGTCAAACTGCAAGAAGAGCACGGTGGCAGCCTCCTGCTCCATAATCTAGATGCCTTCACTAAAAAGGTTAATGACACCCGATTCAAGGACACTGACAGGCAGCCCTGTTTTACCCCAATTCAAACACTGTGTGGCACTGGTGTCTTGTGACGGCGTGAAAACAGCTCCTTTACCTCCCGATTCTATTTCTCACGTTACAGACACACTGACACTGCCCAGGGCGCTACTGAGAGGCTGGTTAATAATTCACCCAGCACCACCGGGAGGACAGGTGAACTGGTAGGTGAGCGGGTAAAATCCAGCCCACATGTTAGAATACGTGCAGCCATGTCAGCAAAGGGCAGAATGAAAATGACATGCAGATGCCGGTTTAAAACTTCAGAAAAAGACGGGTGGGGGGGGAATACGTGCTTATTTAAATTAAACCCACAGGCCCCGGTCACACCGCAAGGCGTGTCGGCCAGCCCGGAGGAGGTGATTCGAGCTCCACTCCTGGCTCTGCCTCTGGGCGTGTGGCCCCTGACAAGTCATTTAACCCCAAGGTATCAGCATTTCTCATCTGGAGAGTGGAAGAGTCCAGACAAGTCAATTTTGGGGGTTCCCCCACGGTCTAAATTTAATGATTTCTCATTGTTAGGTACCATATGGGCATTTGCATTGGAGTGACAAAACTGAGATTGTATAACGTCCAATAATTAACATCTGTTACCCACATTCTTGCAAGCAAAAATTATATGCGGAAGTCACAAACCCTCACTTTTCCATTTTAAAAGTTCCAACATTCTTAGAAATACTTAGTAATCCGCTTCCACCAGTGGCTTCCCACGGACCTCGGGCTGGAAACGGCTCATGGTCCCACATCCTACGAGACCTCCAGGGTCCCAGGGGTTCTGTCCTCAATATCTAGCGATGCTTTCAGCACGCTATTTCTCCACGGTCATGCACTGCCTTCTACCCTTTCTCACTGTCATCTACAAACTCCGCTCACAACGCTCATCACTAGAGGTGACCACCCGACTCCCGTGTCCTCCCCACTCCGGGTCCTGCCTCCATCCTGGATGACTGTCCCATCCACAAGCGAGGCCCTCAGTGCTGTGGCTTCCTGGTCCCCACCCTAACCCAGGCTCACTTCACGACCAGCCAGACACCACGTCACCTGGAAGGGCTCCACCTCTGAAATCCTACATCCGAACAGTCTCCTCTGTGACCACAGCTTCCTCTCACTACACCCCTGCATCGACCTGAGACGTCGCCTCTGAACGATGGCAGCCCTTCCCCCCAGCCCCTCCTATCCTCGCTTCTTCCCCACCGGCTTAGCTGCCATCCTGCCAATACCCTCTGTCCGGGTCCCACTGGCCTTCCACTGAACTGCTCTGGGATAACCCTGACCTTGGGTCAATTCAACCACCTTTCCCCCCTCTTACAACCCTCCGGGCTGGAGGCCTGTCCCCTGAGGTCTCGTGGTCTCCGTGATCTCTCATGGGGGTCCACGGGCCTCCCTGGAGCCCGGCAGCCTGCTTCCCCTGGGGGGCTCTCTCCTACTCCTCACAACGGCTCAGGCTGCCAATCTCGCCCCTCACTCTCAGACGACTGCCTCCTACGTCCAAGAAAACGTGAGATGAGAAGTTCCTCCCTCGATGGCCCCACAGACACACGCATTCCCTTGCACCTGCGACAGTTTTCTCTGTGTGTTGCTACCCCGGGAGAGGCTCCCTCCTGCCTCTCCGCCAGGGCTGAGGGGTTCACCCATCAAACGCTCCCCCTCTCGTGTTCTGCTACCTCCTCCCCTCCTGCGTTAAACACGATCCTAAAACGTCTCCCATCTTCAAACAGAACAAAACGAACAAGACCGTCCCCTTGTCTCCCCACAGTCAGGTCTTCGAAGGGTGGCCTCTCCCCACTGCTCCCACTTAGTTCTCGTGCGCCCCTCAAATCACCTGGCTCCACTCCGATGCATGAAATCCAAGTTCAAGTCTACCTACCAATGTCCCTGCCATGGGGCCGTTCGTGCCGAAGGAAGAAACGCACTTCATTCCTCTGACTTCCAAATCGCTGCAGGACGTCGAACATCCGCTCGTTATCTGCAACGGGGCGTTCTAGAAGAAAGACAGGCGAATCGTCTTATCTATCCTTTGTGCAAATTACAATCGGGAATGCAGGCAACACGTAGCATCTTAGATCGTTTGTTTTCATTAAAGGACCCCTTAGAAAATGCCGTATCACAGAGGTCCCCCCACACAATCAGTGTCCAACCCGGGTGGAGAGCACTCAGGTGAGCAGACACCCCTCAGGAGAAACTGAGTAGGCCCTCCACCCCCTCACCAAACACGCACACTCTCTATTTCAAAAGAAATAACAGCCCCAGATTCCAGATGCGAAGAGAGTACTTGAAAGAAGTGAAGCAACCTCCCGTCCTGCTGGGTTGGGCCATCTTTAAAGGGCACGGGCCTTCTCATAAGGTCTGGGAGCGAAGGCCCCGCTGGCCCGTGACGACGAAGCTCAGGCCCGGGCCCGCACACGCCGAAATGCACATCAAAGGCCTCAGGGCCTGCCATTCCTCGCACCGACCGTCCCCAGCACCCTTCCTCCTTCTGCAGAGGGAGCACGTCTGTCCGACACTATCTGGTCGTATTCTACGTCTGCCGAAAGCTGCTTCTACGTGAAGGTAAGAAACTTATCTCTTGGTTCCCTCCCAATCGGTTCCAAAGCCCGTAACAGGCATCTAAGGCATGTTCTCTGACAAGCAATTGAGTGGGGTGTAAGGAAGCGGAGATGGCACATAAAGCTGCTCATTTTAAAAAGATCTGTCTGTGAAAGAAAGAAACTTGAGATGCTAACAAAATCAAAGTGATACATTTACTGTTTTTTAAAAGGGAAATCTTAGACAATTTATAGCAAAATAAGAGGGGGGGAGTTTAAAACATAATAACTATTACTTACTGAGAGCTGATACTAAATGGACCAGGGGCTATGCTAAGCTCCCTCCAAGTATTAACTCCTGCAACCCTCACACAATCTTATGAGATAGGTTCAATTATTATCCCAGTTCTGTAGATAAAACACTGGAGAATTACAGAGATTAAGTACCTTGCCTTCAGTTATAAAGCTAGTAAGTGACAGAGACAGAATTTTGAAACCCAAGACCTCTCTCTTAATCACACTAGACAAACCACCCTCAGATTAATTATGACTTCACTGCGACCAATCAAAATCCCAACAGAATGTTTCATGGAGCCGGTCAAGGTAATTCTAAAATATATCCAAAACAGAAAATACAAAAGCAGAGCTCAGATATTTTTGAAAAAGCGGAAGGATGAAATAAGCACTTGCCTTACAAATGCCCAACATATTATAAAACTGTAACAAAACCGGTCCTGTCCCGCCCTGGCTGGTGTGGCTCAGTTGGTTGGGTGGCGGGGCATCCCTTGCACCGAGAGGTTGCAGGTTCGATTCCCGGTCAGGGCACGTGCCTGGGTTTCAGGCTCCACCCCTAGTAGGGGACGTGCAGGAAGGAGGCAGCTGATCGATGTTTCACTCTCATATCAATATTTCTCTCTCTCCCCTTCTCCCTTCCTCTAAAAATCAATTTTAAAAAAAAATCTTTAAAAAAAATTTTTTTTAAAACTGGTTCTGTCCCACACAAGAAGAAAAACTGAAAGGAACTGGCTACAGCATCTAGAAACATCTCTTCCTAGGAGACTCCCAGGTCAGGAGTGATGTCTCGTATCAGTAAGGAAGAAAAGGGCTGCTCCGTAGGCACTTAGGAAGATTCACTATCCATCTGGGAAAACGTTTAATCCCTAATTCACACTCGTCATAAAAATTAAAGAGGAGAGGGAGGGGAGGGGAAAGGAAGGAAGGAAAAGACCTTAAAACTCGGAGCATGAAATAAAGGAAGAGTATGTTTACGGTCTTGGGGCAAGGAAAGCATTTTCCTACAGAGAGGAGAACCTGGCCTGCGGTCCACAACAGAATACTCCTTGGTTTGTTTTTGTTTTTAATGCTGACAAGTCAAGAGGGAAAAGGGAAAAGGCAAAGGAAACCTGAGCAAAGGCTACAGAGAAACAATTTTTAAAAAATGGAAACTCGAAGTGCTAATAAATTTTTAAATGGGTAGTATCAGCTTAGCAAAAATTAACATAGTATTGTATCAACTGGTGATGAGGGATACTTTTAGAAATAACTGGCAGGACTGCGATTATATAGCCTTTGTTGAGGGAAATCTGCGATACTTTAAATTTTAAATACTTGACCCCTTAGCCAAGCGATCCCACTTCTTATTACGGACTCTACAGAAATGCTTGCATGTGATCGAGAGGCTCCTAAAAGGCTTTTTACTGCAGCATTTATAAAAACAAGGGCAGAATTAATATAATGTTTATGAATAAAGACATGGTTAACTATGCATACAGTTTATGCATACTATGGAAAACATATGTGATTATTAAAAATAATAAGACCTTCGAGCTATGTTGTAAGGTAAAAGGGTGAACTGCAGGATATTGATACGTATGGTACTATTTACAGAAAGCAAAACGGGAGAAAGAAATAATGCACAAAACAATTTCTACAGTTACGTACGAGTGCAGAGAAAAAGTCTGAACAGCTATCTGCCAAAACTACGAGCAATTACATCAAGTGATCAGAGGATGGGTTTGGGAGAAAGACTTCCAATCTATATGATTTCCTCTTTTGCAAAAAGAACACATTCAGATGTTATTCGTCTTTTTTAATCTGAAAGGTCCAAAAAATAAAAATCCTTAATCGCCATCACATAATATGGTTTAATGACCTCAAGTGAGCAACAACATCAGAGAGGAAAGGGAGGCGGCGGAAACAAGGGTTTCAAGGAAGAGAGTGAGCTTGGCAGAGAGAGAACATTCTTCCCCTCTGAAGATCAGAAGGCAGGGCAGGCACACCCTGGGAGGGTCCGAGGTATGTGCAGGAGGAAACTGAGGGACTCTCATGGGTGGTTTCAATCATCTCAGGGAAGTATAAGGCAAGGTGGTTTGGTGACTGCAAGGAGGCGACCAGAAGCTCACTGATTCATTCAGTGACTATTAATTGAGCACCTACTACAGACTCTCCCCGAGCTGGGGTGCAGCAATGAACAGGATAAGCAAGGTCTCTTCTTTTGGGGAGTCGACACTCTGGTGCATGTGTTTGGGGCCACAGGGGTTAAAAAGGCAATAAAGTAATAAACACACATTCACAAAAAACAGTGACATGTATACGCAGAGGATTAAACCAAGATGACATAGTAAGAGAACCCCATGGCTACTTCTGCAGGATGCTCAGAAAAGCCTCTCGGAGGAGGTAGCATTTTAACTGAAAGCCAAATGACCGGAAGGACCAGCAGTGACAAATCTGGAGGGAAGCCAGACAGGTCACGGGAACAGCTAGTGCTAATGGCTCTGGGGCAGGCAAGAGCTGAGTGTGGTTTATTCAGGAACATCAAAACGTTGCAGGAGGGGGCAAGGAGGAAACCAGTGCCAGATGACAAAGAGAGCAAAGCTTTAAGATTCACGATCCGAGATCCAGTCTAAGTAGAAGAGAAAGCCACTACAGGGTGTCAACAGGAAAGTCAAACTCAGATTCTCATCTAAAAAGGATCACTTGGGTTTCTTTATGCAAACAGTCTAATCTAGCTCCCATGTGAAGGTTAATATAAGCAATTTGGGGAATGTGAAGATGACCTTCTAGAACACCCAAGGGTGGAAAGTCAACCGCAGATGACCAAGAGGACTTGCCTGGTGAGAACTGGGCGCTCAGCTGACATCAGGTTTCATGACTGGTGTGAACCCGGTGTGTAACCTGCACCCCAGAGGAGGAAAGGGGAACAGAGGGAGCTCGCTTAGGCTGCCCGGGGACAAGTAGAACTTGGGAAAAATTACTCCCACATCTACAACTCCTAAGGGGCCGGAAAGAAACCAGGCCGCCCCATTTCAGAGCTGCAAAGAACTACACTGAGGGATTGATTTCAAGGCTTAAAATAATGCCCAAGGGTTCACCAGTGCCTCCTGCCACCATAGTAACTCAACACTGAATAGCTTTCCCTAAAAACCTGCAAAACCGTAGAGAGGGCAAAACAATCAGGAGGCCTCAAGTTTCTAATCGAGCAGAGCCTGGGCTTACAAAAAATACCTATGAGCACACCCGACGCTGCCACCTGGTCTATCAGCTGCCTGCCCCTTGACCTTGTCCACTGCAGTGTCTTCACTGTATTGCAGAGGAAAAGAGCGAAGGGACTTAATATGTTGCAACAGAGCTGGATGGAGAATGCGGTGTCCTGCTGGACATGCTATTCTACAGCTTCTCTGTGGGTGAACATGAGCATCGCCCCCCTGCCACATCCAAAACCCAGTAATCATAAGAGATGTATAACTGGAGCCCAAGGCGGCCCGGCTCTACCTGAGCCGCACCACACTTCAGCCAGGTGGCAGTCGCTCTCGCCGGGCTCCTTGCACAGGTCCACCACATCTCTGCATACGGTTTCGGGGGTAACCGGTACTTCCGTGAAGTGCTGCTCGTTGTTGCTGAGGTACACCGTAAGAAACATCTGGAGACGAAAAGAGAAAGCACGACCGTTACCAGCCTGTCCGCACCGGTGCTCACTTCTTGTTCACTTTCTATTCCTTTCGCCAAACAGAATCGGTCAAGTGCACATGTTCCACAGAACAGTCCGGATGACCCTGGCCCAAGTGGGGGGGGG